GGTAGAGAGAGAGAGAGAGAGAAAAATTCAAGCCCTGGCGAAGAAGAAGAGAGAGAAAAAGTGGAAGAAGAGAGAGGCTTGCCAGGGAAGGTTCGCATGTAGGTTTAGAGCGATGCTGGCACCTTCGCACCAGAAAGAGTACAATTGGACTTGAATAGCCTGCTTTGCTGCCGTGTTTCTCACAGCTTCGCAGTTGCAAGCCCAAAACAGCCAAATACGACACAGATGGCGCAGACAGTCACCGCAGACCTACATCTTAAGCCGGCCGAAACCCCTCGAGAAGAGGCCTACGGCAGCCCACTCTAAAGAGTCACAAACCCCGAAACCAGTTTCCAGGCTGATGTGCGAACTCAGGCTGGGCGATGGCGGAGAGAGCGCCGATTGAAGTAATGTAGCCCAAGCCATGGCGTCCATGCTGACAATGTAGCCGTGCTGAGGGCGGACGGGGGCCGCTCCGGAAGCCCAGGCAGTCCCAACGAAGCACACCAAGGTCGGCGTATGCCGTTGTTGCAGCCTTCACAAACTTGTTCGTTTGGTTGGAATGCACCTGCAAAGCTGCTAGAAGTTCCAATGTTGTCCGCGACTTGTGTTTCAACATGAAGTGGACTGGAGATGATGGATGCTTTTGATGCCGGCGGGCTTACGCTTCCCGAGCAGGCCATGCCGCGGACAGCAGTGTTGCCGGACGCCTAACTGGTTCATTTTCTCGTGGCGATGCAGCAAATTAAGAAAGGAGGACAGGTCACTATGCCCGTAGTCCTGGTTTCGGGCTTCGCAAAATCACACAAACTGTTGCCTTCAGATGTTCAGGCGATGGCCCGGTGGCCACCGGCACAAGGAGTCGTGACCTCAGTGTTGCGGAGCCGAGAGCAGGATGAGCCCAAAGAACAACAGAGTTAGATTCCGTTATATAGACCTTGCAGAGCCTAGCTGCCTGGAGACCTGTTTGCAGGCAGGGGCCCGGCTTCACTAGATTAGCCAGAGAAAGTGTGCTCCTTCACATCTGGAGCTTCGATGCTTCCCTTTGTCCTCTCGGCCTCTCGGCGCCAGGGATGTCAGCTTGGAGGTCTTATCGCTGCAGGAGGAGGTGGAGATCCTCCGGGAGGTGCTCAGCGTCGCGCACAGAAAAGAGGATTTTCAAAGAGGTGTCTGGCTTGGAGTCCACGGTTTTGACAGGCATTTTGCACTCGGGTTTCTCTCGTCGTCTCGTAGAGTCGTGTCTGCGATGGTCTGACAGGAATGACCTGCGGTAAAGATCTGATCTGAAGCTCTCAGCCGAGCCTTCGCTGGCAAAGCAAAGGGTGTTCCTGCTAGGAGGCGGATGAGGCAGCCGAGAACATGGAGTGGCCGTGCCATGATTTCTGAGTTGCTGTGAATCCGCAAACTGGGATCGGCCTCTGTCAGACCTCCGAAGAGAGCCAGGCTTGCGCGCATGGCTGCCAAAACGCTGGAGGAGTCGACGGAATTGACTCATGTAGGGAAGTCTACACAATGGGTTGTTCGGTCAAGAAAGCTTGCGGAGAAGTTCCGGGAGCATTTGAGCGGATTGGAAGCATACGAGTCCAGTCCTGCAGGACCAGTTCCTGGCTGAACAAGCAGTGGTTGTGCGCCTCCAGTCTGAGCAGAAGGCGGAGCCCTGCGTGGCGGTTGAGACGTGGCTAGCTGAAGCCTTGTATCAAAGCTCTCGAGTCCTCAAGAAGTGTCACCCTCGCTCGCCTTGGGCACGAGCAATTGGCAGGCCCAGCGGTCGACTTCTTCGGATCTGCAGGTGGACGTTGGAGCTCTGGGGTTGGTATTCTCCCTTGCGGGCATGCAGCCCGAATTCGAGGATCAAGAAGCGCTCCTGTGGACATTTTGGCCTGCAGTCTAGTCCGGATGGTTTTCCACGGTGCCATGCGCAAGCAAACTCTCCGGCTTCCGAAGATCCCAACCAACACGCGCAACCCCAAAGGCCCCAAAGCCGCCGTGAAGCCCAGAGCCATGGAGAAGCGCAAGCGCTGGACGCGTGCGAGGGGTCTCGAAGCAACCAGGGACACCTCGGATGTGCCGGTGCAAGAAGGAAAAGACCCAGGCCCAAGAGAGACCAAAGCCAGCACAAGCGGGTTTAGTGTGCATGTTGTGGGGGTTCAGTTGCTTGCTAACACAGTGCTGCTGGCCAGCCTTCCTCGATGTGTTGCAGTCTCCCTTTTGCAATGTTCAGATGTTGTCAAGTTCACCAAAGATTTGAAATAGGGCTGCTGGGCCGGTCTTTCTGAACCTCTCGGTGCTAGGTTCACTTGGGCGAGGCCGTGGTTCGTTGAACCTTGCCGCTGCCTACAGTGCCGGTGCCACCACTGCGTTTCTGCAGCGGTACCATGCGGACAGTGATTTCAGGTAGTCCCTGCATGTGTGGTTTCGGCCTCAGCCTCAATGTGTCCGTGCCACAGGACCTGGAAAGGCTTGCTGCCCGACCGGACTTGCCTGGCGAGGCACGTGAACTCTTAAAGCCTTGGAGCCAAGTTGTTGGTGGCATAGTCGGCCCAAGTCTAGCATGCGGGTGTCAACTGCTTGCGTCGAGGCCCGCTGGTTCGACTCGCACTGCCACCTGGAGTCTCAGATCTGAAAAGATTGGATGCTTCTGTGTCGGAGAATACGAAGTTGGCACGTGGGACGCAAGCCACACGAATGTGCAGTAGCATGTTGAGCTGTGTGTCTTGGCAAGTGGCTAAACACATGTCGCAAGGCAGCGGGCTGAACTGAGGCATATCACGTTAGATAACCCGGGGTCACCTCCCCTTCAGATTCTGCTGAGAACGGAGGAGAGCATCTTGCAGCGCACGTGGCGGGGCGGCGGCAAGCCCCAAGTGTTGCAGAACGAGCCCCAGGCTCGGAGAAAGAGGGAGTTTTGATCCTCAAACCTTCAAGCGTCTGCCATTGTGTCGTAGTCCGAAAGAGGTCACGCTCCCGGAGCTGGTGATGCTCTGGCCAAAAGGCCTTGATGGCTGCGTAGCCAATTTTGTGTTCAGGAAGGAGAGCAGCTCGGATGCACCATGATGCACTGCACGGGCGCGGAAAATGAGTTCTCGCAAGTACAGACATCTGGTGCGGAACAGGCAAACCAGGCTTCACCCCTGAGTGGGAGTGGATCGCCCAACACCTGACTCTCATCTCCATTTTGAAGTTTTCTGATTCGAGAAAAATCTTCGGACACGAAACCCGCAATCTTTTTCAAAAGCCCTATGAGGTCTCACTTTGAGCAGGGTGGTCCCGTCAGCGACAAGCTCCTGGGCGTGATGAGACTTCGTGGCGGTGGATACTGCCCGGTAAACCTGAAACTTAGGGTGGGAGGGCCATGTTCGTGCTTGCTGTGACGCAGTGAAAGACTCCAGCTGTGCATCGTTTTGTGAAGGGACCTCTTGCTCTCGTGTCTCACATGTCAGGCTGTGGTTCACCATCGGTGTCTCAGCTGAAGTGGACTCGGATGTTCTTTGTCGGTGGGGTCTCAGAGGCCTCCAATAGCTCAAAGTCTTGCTTGCGCAGATGCCTCGATGACCTGGAGCAGTGTAAACTCGAGACTGGAATCTCAGAGTGCTCCAATACATGGGAAGCCATCGGCAGAAGCTTTTTGTCGGAGTCCCTTGGTAGGGGCAGTCATTCTGCATTCTTTGACGCTCAGCAGGATTGCTGAGTCGCTTGCATCGCTGCATGGGAAGGAATGCAGAACAGCCTATTATCCGAATCCCCCGCTCCGTTCCCGCACTCCCATACCACGTGTACACATTGACCCAATCACAGACTCGCGTGGTCATGTTCTCTGCTCAGTAACCTTCTAACATGGAGGCGGCAGCAGTGGTGCCCTGCCAAAATCAATAGGCCTTCATCCACACAATGCTGCGGGTTGGGACGCGTATGCGGAGAAGCGTCTCAGATGACGTTAATCGCATGGAAACGGCTGCGACATGTGCCGGAGCTCTGAAGCTTCAGATGCTTCTGACGCCTTCTCCGACCGAGGATCGTCCGGCACTTTGCTGCCCATCCGAAGTGTGTAGGCTTGGACTCTGATCGAGGATTTTCCGACTGTCTGACTGTCTGTAGGTTCGTCAGACGACACAGCTTTGCACGCTTGCCATGTGTCTCCTCCGAACCACGTAACCCTCAACACTGCAGCGTCCCCTGAGACCCGGCAGTGCTCAAGCTCTTGATAATGACATCCAGCCCTGTCTGCATGTTATCATCGAGAGCGATCCAGGCGTTGGTGAATGTGGGTTGGATTTCTTCAAGCACGACCCGAGCGAGGCGGACTTTAGACTTCTCGTGTGGCTTGAGGGGTACTCAGCCCCTAAGTCGAATCGATGCTCCTACGCGCCCATCATTTGCATCTGATGTCGGAAACATCGAGGGTCAGCGGCTCTTTCCACTCTTGCGGGCAGGAGGAGATCCAGCTGAGAGCCTTTCGGGCACAGGCGGAGCTTGCGGTGGAGCTGGGCAAGGCAAGACCACATACGATGCCCTGCCGGCAAGCCAAAGTACCAAAGATCTTTCCACTCGGAAACGCATTCGCCCGGTTCTTAGCACACTGTCTTTCGACAAAGGCGCTTGTCGTCCATGCACGGCTCGTGACCCGGGAGAATGAGACCCGATTCCTGAGTGAGCTCAAAAGGCCAGCAGAAGGTTATTTTTCGGTTCCGGTCCAGGTATGTGAACAACTGCACAAATGCTCGCCCAGGGTGATTCCCCAGCACCACCCGATTCACATACACTGCTTCGGCGATTCCTTGGAGCATGCGCAGGACCCGCTCCTGCATCGATGGATGAGCTCTTGCACAGGGGATCCCAAGAACCTCTCCGGAAGAATCCCTTCAGACGTTCCTCCAAAGTCCCAGCGATGCTGACCGGAGGAGCTGATCAGCCACTACCCAAGGCTCCGCATCGGCTTCACGGGTGCTATCACCTTCTCGGACCCGCCAGGTCCTGTGCTTCGTGAATCTTAGTGACATTTTGGTGTCTTTCGGTGCCTGTGTTCAGGCAAGGGCAAGGGCAAGCGCAAGGGCAATGAAGCCAAGAAGGGCCAGGACCGTTTGTAGAGTTCAGAGGTCTCGGTCACTGCGATCGCGCAGTGCGGGGCTTGATGTTTTGGTTCGAGCCCCAAGACGGAAGGGATGCTTGGATTTGAGCTTACAGCAGTGTGACTCTTCCGGATTTTGAAATTGGGGCAGCTGCGATCAGCTGGGACTCATGCCGCCAGGAGCACTGCCGAGAGCTCATTCAAGGGCTGCCGCTGGATCGGCTGCTAATCGAGCCTCGGCAGCCGCATTTCGTATCAACTCGTAGTTTTACTAGGAACTTACACAGTGCGCTTCTTACTCCACTCTTGGCAAGATTTGGAAGTCAAAAAACTTGCAGCCATGATTGACTTCACAGCTCGAGCCTCGGCATGCTGTTCCTGACGAAATACGGAACAATACGGCCACACAGTACGCATTCTGCAATATGGTTTGGCATGCAGGCAGTGAAACAGCACGGCCCTACGCAGCCATGGATAAATTATATGCTAGCCTGAGGAGACAGACGGCCCTTACATGTGCCCGGAGCCCTTCCGCGGACAGACGGCCTCTCGACTGGAACAGAAGGATACTGCAAAGCACCCTGCATTTCAGAGATTCGTATTCACCTCCTCTTCGCCTAATGTCATTCTCGGTCAGGATCTCGCGGAAGGAACCCTGAGCACATCAGCGCACCTGTCACATCTGGCCAGGCCCATCCCGGCCACGTTCACCGAGTGGCTGAGCCTCAGCAAGATTCCACTCGTGATGCACTTTCTTCACCGTTGCGCTGGTTTTTCCTTCAAGTGCAGTGCTGGTATCTGGGGCCGGCGTAAAAATTCAGCGATGGTGATGATTATGGTGTTTTATTTGTTTTCTTCTGCTTGGTCGTGGAACAAATTTATCGTAACAGGTTGCTGCTGCTTTTGCTGCTGCCGTCGCCGTTGTCGCTGTTGTCGTTTCGTTGTTGTGGTCACTGTCTTGTCGTCGTCGTCGTCGTCGTCGTCGTCGTCGTCGTCGTCGTCTTCGTTATTGCTGTTGCTGTTGCAGCCGCTGCTGCTGCCACTGTTGCTGCCGCTGCTGCTGCCGCTGTTGGTGGTGTTGCTGTTGCCGCTTGCCGTTGCCGTTGCCGTCGTGTTTGCTGTTGCTGGTTGCTGGTTGCTGGTTGCTGGTTGCTGTTGCTGGTTGCTGGTTGCTGGTTTCTGTTGCTGCTGGTGCTGCTTGCAGCTTGCCGCTTGCTGCTTTCTGCTTGTTGTCGCTGTCGCTGTTGTCGTTGGTGTTGTTGTGTTTGTTGTGGTGGTTGTGGCTGTGGTTGTTGTGGTTGTGGCTGAGTTGTGGTTGTGGTTGTTGTGGTTGTTGTGGTTGTGGTTGTGGTTGTGGTTGTGGTTGTGGTTGAGGTTGAGGTGGTGGTGGTTGTTGTTGTTGTTGCTGTTGCTGTTGTTGTTGCTGTTGCTGCTGCTGGCGCAAGGCCATTGTGGATCGAGCCCTGGTTTACAGGTGGGTGCGGGCAGTTCGCACGCGTGGTGTTTTACCTCCAGTAGCTCACCCCTGTAGCGCGGGCCGAGGCCATGGCCAGTAAATCTACTTGGTGTGTCCATGCGGGGCATGGATCTACTGCCACAGGGTCGCTCAATGCGAGCAGCACTGCAGACAGTGTGGAAAGAGTGGAGAGTTCACACCTCAACGTTGCCCATCTCGGAGGACCAGCTCTCAACTGGTTGCTGTGCCAAGACAGCACAGCCATAGCAGTGCAAGAAACCCAGCTCCGTGATGTTGCCTGGCACAGCACCAACGGCACGTGTCAAGCTGCAGGTTGGGAGATGCTTGGGAAGGCGGCACCCACTTCGGTCGGCTCCCACACCAAAGGAGGTACTGCCATCCTCCACCCCTCAGGGGAGAATGTGTTTTGCAACAGCACTACCACTCAGACGGAGCGGGTTTCACCACATTTCACCACAGCAGGGGTGCGACTATGAAAGTACGACGTCACGCTGGTCTCGCTTTACTTACGGGACACGGAAGGGACGTCTGGGCACACCAACAGCAACGTCCTCGCGGAGCTCATCTCTTGTTCCTCCGAACGGTGCCAGAGCCTTGGAGCATTGGAGGTGATGTCAACCTCCCCCCTGAAGAATGTTGCTAACACAAAGCTGGACTATGTCATTGTTAGCAGTTAGCAGGTGTCTTGAGGGGAGGTCCACCCTCCAAATGCCTCGGACGGTTCCGTCGAAACCCGATGCACCTGTCCATGTGAAGCTGCAGGGGCTTGAAAATGGATGGACAGCATGGAGGCTCCCGCAGCTCCCCAAGCTGGCCGGGTAGCTGGACCCCCGACATAGTATATAGACCCAGAAATCGACTTCGCGGTGCAACAGGCCGATGCTTGGTTCAAGACGTGACATGACCTTTCTGGAAAGGGGCAGGTCACCTGGGCAAAGTTTGACAGGAGTGACAGGCGGTGGTGCTACGTCAACGGTCCGCTGTGGTGGCTTATCTGCTTGACCGCAACTGGGCCACGCCAATGCCTTCCCTCTGGCAGGACACGCGCGGCCAAACCTACGAAGTGCGCAACAAGCAGCAGCAAACCCTGGTCCTGGAGCAGCCCAAGCTCACGGTGGAGCAGACGGTTTTCGGCGGAGAGGTGTGCACCGTCGCGCTCTTCTTCAGCACGTATAAGGGCAGTTGGACCTCACGTTGGACTGCATGGGGGTGGACAACGAGAGGGAAGGCACCCAAACCAGGAAAGGCCAAATGCTGATCTCTAGCACGGCAAACCGCAGCGAGTCACCTGGAACTGGGTCCCCTCCTACCAGGACGAGGACACTTCGCCAAGGCCTGTGGCCCTGCAAACCTGTGGAGGCGACGAGCAAACAAGCTGGCCGATGCTGCTTGTGGCAAGTATACCTCCGCCATAGAAGTGAGTGAGCACGCAGCTGCTGCAAAACCATCAAACAGCAGCCTAAATCTTTCCCTGTGTTTTAGCAGGGGCAGTGCAGAAAGAGGCCAGGCTCCAACGCCATCGCCAAACTGTAGCTGAATGGTTCCAGCATCTTGTTGGCCAGACCGACCTGGCGCACGAGTGAGGCCCTCCGGTTGCTTCACACCGGCCCCGGAAGCAACGCAAGCCACACCATGCTTTGCAACCACCAGAGTCCGAAAGGAAGGGGTGCACCAGACGCACGTCCGTGCTTAACTCCAAAACCAACGTTTGGAGTGTGAGAGTTGCGGAGGTAAAACCTCTATTTTGGAGAACGGCAAAATCACCAAGGTCTTGGCCTCTGCGTGCAAGTTCTCCGCGATGGTCCCTCCTAAGCAGCTCTCCCAGACCCCTTCGTTGAGAAAACCTCTGGCGTCCCTGTTTCACGTAGCCACTGGCTGAGGTTTCACCCTCCGAAAGCCGTTCTACCGGATCAGAGTAGAAGTTTATCCTCAAAAGCGGGCGCCTAAACGCCCACCGGTGCACTGAGGTAACCCCCAGATGGCAAGCCCGCAAAGCGCGATATCCTCGACTGGAGTTTACCTCCCGCCTAGGTAAGCGGAAAGTGTGTTAACCTCTGGCTTAGGGCAAGAGGTGTCGTTACCTTGTCCAAGCGGAGTAAAACCTCAGCTGCCGACTGGGACCAGCCTGTTTGCAGCTCGAAAAGGTCTCCCCCGAAAACAAAGTGTTTTGGTCGTGGTAGCGGTCGTCGTGGTCGTCGTCGTCCTCCTCGCCGCCGCAGCCGCCTCCGTGTTTCCAGTCGTTCACGGTTTGCACGGAGTAAGACATGGAATCCTCCTGATCAAGGCACACCTGTGGAGACACTCACGCTGTATCATGCGACACACCACCAGAATACTTGGGCATCTGTCGACATTCAGGAAAGGATCGCGGAGTGGCAGAATGCAACTTGGAAGAATGCATATGCACTGATGTTCAGGGTTTTCTGGTTTTCTTGGTTCATGGGCCATGGGACCATGGGACCCAGTGTGGAATGTTGAGTCGTCCTCCCAGCCCTGGTTTTGCCGCCTGAAACAGCAAAGCCTCGTTGCCAAACGGATTTGTCACACGCCAAATTCATCCAACAGTTTCCCAGCTCCTGTCTGTAGTACGTACTACTTCTTGTGTGTGTGTGTGTGTGCGCCCCCTTCCCGACAAGAGGCCAGCAACTAAAGTGCGGAGTGCAGGGCTGCGCTTGAGCTTTGGTCTGACTCGTGCTGTGAGGTTAGTTTGGGCGCAGTGATGGCTGCAACCTGGCAGAGCACCGTGGAAGTCTACGGCCTGACTCGCTAATCAAAGGGCGAAGGGCGGCGGACCCGGCCTTCCATGACGAGCTTCCTTGCTGCACTTCGTGTTGAGAGTTTACGACTTGCGAGACACGAGACCCCAAATTGACCCCTGGACTGTCTGTCGGCGCACAACGGGATTTGCATGTTTGCAAGGTCCTGCGTGGATGGAAGACCTGCTCACAAGAAGAAGCTGCCCCTCAGCAATGCGAAAGCCCAGGCCCAGCTTGCCAAGCAAGGGTCGGAAGAGAGCACCAGAAGGGGGGCTAAGGACATGTAGCCGTTCCTGCCGAAAAGACGGGCCTCCAAGATGTAAATAAAGGGTCCTTGCCCAGTTGAACTCGAGGCACAAGAAGCTGGGCAAGATGACGAAGGAGCTCCAGCGGCTTGTGTTTTCCTTGGAAGGCGTCTGTGCTGTTTGGGGTCGATGGGAATAGAACATGCATTGGAGGTGAGATGGTTTACAGTTTACAGGCCACGATGTATGAAGGTCAAAAATCCCTGCTGCTCGCACGAGGTTGGAAGATGAATTCCTGAAGACCAGCAACCAATCAACCGATTCGTGCCAAGGCTGCAGTATCCTGCGAGGTGTGATACCTGCTACTGCTACCCTAAACAGCTGAGGCAGTTCATCTTCGGCCACTTCTCCAGTGTTTGGTGCCTTCAAGATTCGTGGATTGTTGATGACTTGTCAAAGGAGCAGTTTGGCTTCCCAGCCTGACTTGATGTGCCTCGGCTGCTGTGCCTTGCGGGCTCGAGACGTCCACAGTATTCTATGGCGGTTCGGGCACTGCTATTCCTCAAAGGAACTGCAGTTCGGATCTGCGATTCAGAAAACAACGCGCTCTGTCGGACCGCTGCAAGAAAGTGCGACGAAAAATCGTGCATCATCGTGCATCGTGGCCTTCTCCTTGAGCTGGCACCATGCTGTGAAAATCACGTGCTGTGCAGGGAGATCCCGAGTTGGAAAGGCTGCGTGCAGATCTGGCCATCGCCGAGGCAGTGACGCAGACCTCGCGAGAGTGCGCAACATCTGCTTTGTACTCCTTCTTCTGCTTCTTGTTTGTGGCGTTCTGTCGCGGCGGTGACAGTGGTGCTTATAGTGACAAATTTGATTATGGTTGCAACTGTGGCCGTGTTCGCAGACATGGTGGGCCGCTGCTACTCGCGTTGCAGCGGTTGTAGTTGTGTGTATTTTTTGATTGTGGTCGGGTTGATTGTTGTTTGAGGTTCTCCGTAGCTGGTTGTTTCTTCCACGCAGTGCTGTTGACGGTTTGTTTGTTTGACAGTTGTCGTCCCAAGCTACCTTTGTGTTGCGCAGTTTAAGTGTCCTTGCCGAGCTTCCGCTGTGAGTTTTGCAAGGCTCTGCCGCAATAAGTGCGTTTCTGCGGTGTTCCTGGATCCTTTTCGATGGTCATGCGCGTCATGAAGCGAGACATCTTCGTGCAACTCGTTCCGAGCACAGTCCGTCCAGGAGGCACGGAAAGCAGATGAGCAGCGTTGTGTCAAGTTCATGACGGAGGCAAGCACTGCTTGGCACGAGCGCAAGCTAAGTCTCGTTCCTGTGTTGCGGCGAGTCTGAGGCGGCGACGGTGCGGGAAGAGCTGGGAAGCTCCAAGCTAGAGATTGCGAATCTGTCCGTACCTGGAACATGCTTGGACTGCTTGCACATGCTTTTGCGCGTTGCCCGTCGGCTGTTTTGAGCTGTCCCTTCACCAGTGCTGAGCTGTGCTGTGTGGGGCTGAGCTGAACTGTCATGCCAGGAGCGTCAGCGAGCTGTCGAGTCGGAGCTGCAAGCCAAGGCCGCGGGCGCCGAGAACACGCTCAAAGTGCGTGTGACATCTTGATTCGGAGTCTGATATCCCCTTCCCCTCAACCTGGCGGGAATGATAAGGAAGGGTGAAAATGATGGGATTGCTGTTTGGACTATGAGGGTTTTCAAGCTGTTCGCACAGTTTGACCCGTCTCTCCACCTCACCTCCGCACGGCTTGCGAGGAGAGCTCCAGCTCCGAGGAGGCCGGTTTGGGTCTTTGGATGTTGTGGTTCCTCGTACGGAGGTCCAGCACTCCCATCCTCAAGCACTTTCAGCCATGTCACCGATGTCAATCGACGATCAGCAGCATTCGACGCATGCGGAGCGCATGACGGCAGGTCGCGGAGGTCGCGCGGCTGCGCGCGGCGCTTGCAGAAGCTGAGGTTTGGCACCTGCAATCTTTCAAGTTGATGCGACGGTGCTCTCCGATGGTGTGCCGTGCACAGCGTGAGAAGCGACGAGACAGTGACGAGACCCTTTGCTGAAAGGCTGCACGCCTTGCTGGGTCCAAGCGCCAGGAAGAGCTCATCACCGAGGTGCGGGCGGCATCCTTTCAAAACAACGTACAATTAAGTTCACAGCTTGAGTCCATGCCGGGCCTATGACTCCATGACCTGTTCCATG